GCCGGAGCGCAGCGCCCGTCGTCGCACCGCCGCCGCCGCCGTCCGTCGCGCGACGATAGTGTTTTATGCGGGATAAAGTCCGGGTTCTTTTTTTGTTTTTTATTTCTACGATTTATATTTATTATGATTTACAGTGTTTGTTTCACGCCCGAGACCGACGCGAAATCATACGGAGACTGTCTCGCGGGACGCTGACGAACGCCGGCTGTCGCGCCGTTCAACGTGTTTAGGATTGTTATTTATTTTTTTTTTTCTCGGTGTTTTTAAATTCCAAGCGAACCTGGGAAACGCGGACGGATAAACCGAGAAGAAAACGGGAAAACGCACGAAACGTAATATTTGTGCGATTCGAAAATATTCGCAGAGACTCGGAACTCGGCCGTCAAACTTACAATTCGTCTTTTATGGACGCGGTAAAATGTTCAAAAACATTTTTGAGCGGTTTGTAGACAATTTAAGTTTTTCCGCGTAGTTTTTATCCCGTAGACATCGTAAAATGACGCACCCGTCTCCGGTATCAAATCTTTTAGATTCCGAGTGTAGACCTTTTTTCGAAAGGAAATTTTCTTGGGGGGGTATTCTAAGCAGGTAATTTTTCGATTTGCCCAGGTGTTTTCTCAGCAAAAGTGAAAAACTGAAAAAAGTATCATTATCAACTGAATTCCGTTCAGAATCGTTTTTAGTAAGCAATGGTTTATCGTTGCTCACAGACGCAAATTGATTTCCCCTCTATGTCCCGTCTTCCCAACTTCTCGCCGACAACAGTGGCTGCACCCGTCCCCGTCATCCCAGAACGGCTTTGTTTACACGTGTTTTTAAGTTTACCGTACATATATGTACATAAAATACCTGTCGATTTTCAATGCTATCAGCAACCCAAGTCCCGGAAACTCGCGTTCTAAATTTTAAAAGTTTTTGACCGGCGCAAACGCTTCGAATCGTTCGCACGGATGCGCACGCGAGAGACGACGCGGCTCTTTTTCGCGGGCACCCCGATTTATTTGAAACGTTTTTCCGCGCGTTCGTTAAAAAAAAACAACATTACCGAACCGACAACAAACGGACGGCACAACACCATCGTTTTGTTCATATTGGTTTGCGGGTCGCCTGCTCGACACGAGAAAAAACGCGGCCGCCCGCCGCGCGACGCATGGAAATCCGATAGTTTCCCCGGTTGAAAACCCGGTGGTTAATAGCGGCGACGGCGCGAGCGAACGCGCAAAGTAATCCCGTAACCCGTACGCTCGAAATCCGCATTCCGGGTGTTAGAACGCGGATTGTCGTCACGCGACGAACGCGCGGGATTCCGGTTACTCGCGTCTGCGGTACCCGCGCGCCCTGCGGTGTTTCGCGTGGTCTTCCACGCGTGCGTACGGCGGCGTAATATTCGTGCGCGTTACCCCGCGGTCTTTCGGGCGCTCCGAGTCGCGATACGGGGCACCTTACGGGTACGCGTTTGCCCGCGCGACCGGGTCCGTAACGGCGACGACAGTGCGGCGAAACCGCGCGGCGTTTTCGGGCGGATAAGGACGCCCGCCCGAATCGGATTCTCGCCGTGCGGGTGTGCCGCGCGCGCGGCCTCGTCGCCGCCGACCTGTTGCCGTTGCGGTCCGCCGTTGCGGCGTGCCGCACGCGTGCGTCGGCCGCGCGTCCGCGGAGAAATGTTTGTAATTTTTCCCGGACCTACTCGGCCGTCGCGCACAGGAACGCGGTATTGTAATGAATCATTCGGACCGCGATTTTTCGCAAAACCAATTTTACGCGGTTCCTTTTTTGTTTTCTCTCTCTCTCTCTCTCTCTCTGTTTCTTTCATCGCGTCGCACAATTAGTCGTTATTGTTTCCGCAAACAATTAGATCCCGTCGCGGGGGTAATGCATTCAATTACGTCGACCGCCCGGTGTTTAAGGGGTCGCGTGTAGGCAATTTTTTAACGACGTTTTTGATAAGAAACGAGAAAAACCGAAAAAATTACCCACTCGTCAGTCGCTACGAATTTATCGCCCGCCTACCTACGGGCCACATTTATTGTGGTAATCGCGGGGGAGGGGGGGGGAATCATCGGAACGGACGGTGCCACGAAGACGCCGTCTTACGAACGCGCGACACACGGCAAATTTGCGTTCGGCAAGACAAATTTCGTGCCGTTTTTATCGTTGATATCGAAGCGAACCGACCCAACACCGATCGCAAAGGTGAGACGATTTACTGCGCCAGATCGTTGGTGTTTTGTTTCTTAAGCGAGACGCGAGTACGTGAAATGTGACAATTCAAAAACGATTATAACACGGTCAGGGCACAGATGCTCTTCTGACAATTCACCTCTGGTGACAAATCAATCAGCTGTAACATTAAAATTAACGACGCAAAATGCGTTCTGCTGAACGAAAATTAGCCGTGTCACGCGTTCGTAAGACGGAGAGACAGTACAGACAGTGTACACGCCGGTAGGCATTCCCTTGAGAAACCGAATTTTCACCACCGAAATCGCGAAACTCGTATTGCGCAAAATTGTTTTTATCCTATCGGTATCGCTATACTGAAAAAACCAATAGAGTTTGAAATCGGATTTGTCCGGTCAATACGAATAAAACGAACCGTCGAAGTATTCCGAAATATTTAGCAAAGTAATACGGACATTTGCGATATGTGTTTTTTTTTTTCAGGAAAAATTATGTTATTCGACAGGCGGTGGTAAAAAACGACACTCGGAAATTACTTTTCGGAGAACGCTGTACTTATATTATACTGTAAAACAGTATAAAATTCAATATGAACTGCCAATAAACCGAACAAAATAATCGAACGCGAGCGCACAATTAAACTACAGGTTTTGAAATACAATATTGTTATTTAAAATCTGTACACGTTTTTTTGTCTAAACGATTTACCATATTTGTTGAATAACAATATCGTCAGTGTCTCGATTAACACTACCTTCTCCGCGGAACGTTGAGCGCCATCTGTTGTTCAATACACGCGGCTCGCTGGAAAATTCACTTTTAGGTACGATTCTAGTACTGAGGAATTGGGGAACTAGGTAGTGCATTTAACGAAAAAAAAAACAGGTGGACACATCCGGACGTCTTCGTATACGGCGACTGCAATCGATAATTATTGAAAAAAAATACAAAAAAAACGCCGCCCGGACAGGGACTTGAACCCTGGACCCTTAGGTTAAAAGCCTAATGCTCTACCGACTGAGCTATCCGGGCTGTTGACATGGCGTGTAAAACTGATGTTATTTAAACATATTGTTAGGTATTCATCATTAGGTACAAAAGTTTAGGTATCATTAGGCACGTTCGATGATTCATAAATGTAATTTGTTAATAACTGAAAGTCTGCAGTGTGATAATCTGATCGGATTAATATTTATACAATTCTGCACAGTTACTGAAAATAGGTATTGGACGTTTTTACGCTATTGGTTTTTTATGCAGTTTTGTTTTTAACTATACATTTTTTTTTTGTGACGTTTATACTTTTAACAGTTCAAGGTGCACGTTTGTCTTTTGTTGACTTTTAACTCGAAGGTTTTTGTTTTGTTTATTCGACTCATTGGCCGATTCGTAAGTACCTAACTACAATTTATTATCAACTTATGTCAAAAGTCGAAGCAACTTTGTGGCACTTTGAAGCTCTGACCTTGAGCCGAGTGAATTTCAATAATTCGAAACGAAGAAAACGGCTTTTATAGGTACACTAGTGATGGCCGACGGGCACTTGCGAACAGTGTCTACGCAATCCGTCCCCCAGGGTACGGTAAACTCATATCGGTCAGTGGGGGAGGAACGGACGGTCAGCGCGTTTTCGCATTAGGTGCAAAACTGCGTATTCTTCTCGCGTACACGGAACGAAATGAAATTCTGTTTTGGTCGTCGGTTCGTTTCGCGCGTTCTCCGATAACGGCACGCTTGTAAGCGTACTGCTCGGTATCACGATGCGCCTACTCGTTTGTCGGTAGTTTCGGTCGTGTTTTTTAAAATGTTACGGCTCACGGACGCTGCTTCCTTTCCGCTTTCCGGTGCCGTTAATACTGCAGGATTCTCCTCGCATCCCGGGCGGCGTCGGACGATCGTTTACGTTGAAAACGGCGGCAAACTCCGGCGAACAAGTACGTCGACGGCCGCATCGTTCCGTTCGGTAATACGTCCGACGGCGAGACGCCGCGTTCGGCCGTCGTGCCCGTCGCTCACTCGGCACGCTCTCGGCACGCGAAAACGCCGGACCATCGGGGGGGTGCGCGGCGCGTCGCGTTTCGCGCGTAAATGTTTTTTTTTTTTATTCTTCTCGAAATTCACAACGCCCAACGCGCGTTTTATAGAAATCGAGGAGCGAGTGATAATGTTTGGCGAAAAATATCCGAACACACGGACGCAAATGTGCCATGTCGTGCGTGTTAAACGCTGCCGTGATTGTTATGATTGTTCGTTCTTCATCTGCTTCTCGCGAAAGAATTTAAAATTGACATTTGTCTTTCGTTCGAAAAAGAAACGGATAACTGTTGCGGGAAAACGCGTCTTGTCGCTTACGGAGAATCGCCGCAAACGGTCCGGCGCGGCGTGGCGGCAGTCGCGTACGAACCGAAACGCGAACCGCGGCGCGCCCGCAGGAATCGCACCGTAACGCGTCGAGACGCGTTCGCCCAGCCCCCCCCCCCCCCCCCCCCCNNNNGGGGGGGGGGGGGGGGGGGGGGCCGCTCGTTATTCGTACGGCCGGCGCGTTTAATCGGCGACGTTATCGCTGCGTTTTTGCGCGTGGCGCCGACAGCGGGTGGCGGCGCGCCGTTGCGATCTGCGGCCGAGTGGCGCGCGCGTGTGTTATTGCGATGCCGCGCGCGGACGGCGTAAATGTCGCGTAAACAATCGCGCGCCCGTACGGTTTTGCGCGGACGGCGATTTTCGCGAAACGCGCGGACCTCAACGGTCAACCGGAACAGACGGTCGCGCCGAAGACGACGGCGGCCCCGCGATACTCTCCGAGTTCTTCGGAACGTCGAACGCGATTAAATAGCAATACCGGAAATCTGTTGTTCGAACGGTTTTATTGTGACGGCGGCCCGCGGAAACGGCCGTCGGATTCCCACGCGGTTTCGTCAAACGAATAACCGAACGGGTTTTTTTTTTCTGTCGTTGTGTTTTCCGCGATATTTTCCGAAATTTCGCGATTTTTCCGCCGGTGATATTTCGCCTGAAATAATACGTGCCCGACACTAATTGCAACCGAACAAATGCGGCTGTCTTACACCGGCCCACTCTACGTGCACTACCCTGCGCACTCGCGTCCGTTTTAACGGTTTACAGAGCTCCCCGGTCAGAATCGCGTTTCGTTTGATAACATTTACCATTGTTGTGTTCAGCGTTCGACTAGTATCAATCGCCGTGTACCCTATGCACGTGGCGCGAAGTACAATATGTTTCATTACACTTATGTTTGCTCGGAGGGCTGGCCTTAAAGACCGTTAACCTTTTAAAAGAAATTATTTCAACCGCAGTGGAGTCACAGACAATCGCGCAGAGGCGCATACCCGTGAGCGAAGAAAATTGCTTTGTAAGTTCAAAAATGTCAAATATTGTAAGTACATGGCGAGGACGTCACTGACCTATAATTCGCCCGCAGGAACCCGCGATGTTTTATCGACCGATACAATACAATGTGATATTATAAATTTACACGTTCCGGAGGAGACCTTTATCGTCGGCGCATCGTACACCATAACGTTATTTAGATACAACAATGGATGTTATTAAATAAATTTTGTTCGGTACGAGTGCGGTCCATTTTCATTTTTTTTTTTTTTTTATTGTTGCTTATCCGAGAGCGAAACAACGGCCGTAATATAATAAAAACAACGTGACCTTTACATCAATTTGTGCAACATAATTTTTACGGACAGTCGTACTACAAGCTCGTTGTGCCCACTCGACATTATATCGCGCGTACCTATGCACCTATTATTTGTTCACGTCCGATTCGTATTCTTCTGTATTGCTCTATGATACGGGCGTTACGATAATAACTAAACAGACAAGCCGACCGTGATAATAATAATAATAATATTGCGATGATCGATGTACATTACGTTGATATCGCGGTTAAAATAATAAAACATAGCCGTTAATGCGAGTACTGGGTAGTTTCGTGATGCTACGAGTTATTATAAGTCCTTATATTACGAGATTTATGTAAATTTAACTACGGTGTTGGCAAGATTATAAGTTAGGTTATAGAAAAAAAAAAAAAAAAACAATTTCTTAAGGCGAACTAGACCGATTTGATTGGTCGAAATGGATTTGAATGTAATTTTATTGTACGTGCCCTACACGTACGTTTGTAGCTCATTTTCTGACTAGTTACGAATCCAAAAGATATAGGTAGCCAACTGCCAGTGTGTATGCGACCACGATGAAAATTACATCAAATTGTAGAGCATTTTTACGATACCGACAGTATGTTGTCTACATAAAACCAAAAAAGAGAAAAAACCAAGACAATTCTATACGGTTTTTTTTTCTATAGTTTTCCACGGTTATTAAGAAATGTACATTGACAAAATTGCCTTTTTAACGCATAAATTATACAAAAAACCACCGGCCACCGCCGAAGTGATGACCTCAGTGTGTTTACAGGTGGAAAAAATTACAAGTCATAATAGTAAAAGTGCAAAACTAATATATTCCACACTTCGCTCGGAATTAAAAAGTATTAAGGTTGGTAAAAAAAAAATAAAAAACAAAAAAATAGATGAAAACCCCGGTGGAGGAAATTATACTTGATTTATCTAGTGGGTTCAGTGTGACCGTGGTGAGAATACAATTTTAATCTTTGGGCATGAAATGATTAAGTGATAACCACCGTTCTAATTACCAAGTATAGTATGAGATCGCGCACACTTTGTGAATTCGAATCAAGTAATTAGAGCTTAAAAGTCGTGTGGATTTTCGGATAACGTTGTGAGATTTTAATATATTATACAAGCTTTTCTGCGCTCTTATTTGAACAGACAAAGCACAAATGATGTTCCACTGCTTTACTATACTCTTACTCACAAAACGACAAACCTCAACAGACACTATAAGTTCAACACCAAAATGTATTCAAACTAAAACGTCATCTAATTACGAAATTTTCAATGATGCGTATTATTGCAGATTGCTACGTTCGAAAACAAAAAGTGGACATAGCGAAGGTTCCACCTTCGAAAATATGGACGATAGAAAAAAAAAAAAAAACGGCAACGTAACGTTGTGGAGTCGCTCATTTACCTTAATTGTTCTAAATCATTAATTCCGAAAAAAAGTCTTTGCTTTCCGAGACAATGAGTGCCTATCAAGTTATGTTGTTGATCACCCTGTATATTATTGTAGTTCAAAATTCAACCGGTTATAATGGTTATAAATTTTGTAACGTATCGTGTGTTGCCCACACATATAATATGAAATTAAACAATACTTAAATAAAAAAAAAAAAAAAAAAACCATACGAATTTCTTGGTAGTTCTACCAAACTATAACGCTGTACCATATAGTACATATCTGTCTCGGTGATTGCGCAAGGTCTTGAAAGAAAAACGCACGCCATGTCATTTTTCTCGTTACTCCGATTTGCGCACGATCCCAATTATATACACGACACGGTAAACACGTTTAGCCTCCGGGTGCTGTTCTCGTGTTAAATATTTATCATATTATAATATTACCGTAAAGTACCCGCCAATAATTATGCGCAGCCGACGGTCCGAAATGATTTTGGCGTTGCCCGCCGAGTACGGAGTTTGGATAACAATTTGTTTTATTTTTTCTGTATACGATATGTGTAGTGTTTTTATTTATATAATAGGTGTCCCGTCGGGCGACGGCCGTGCCAAAGAAAAAAAAAAAAAAAATTGTAGTATATATTTGTTGGTTTGTGGTTTGTTTTAAATTTTATTCGTATCGCAAATGCGATCCGTAAATCAACAAAAATAATTAGGTTCCCGTACCAAAAATACCAACAACGTTATGTTAGCCCCCTTTTTAGTGGTTTAATTCGGGATAGAGTAGCTGATACATGCCTTACTTATTATTTCTGGTACAAAACTAAATCTATACAAAGTTTCGGCTCAATCCGTTCAGTAGAAGTGGTAACAAACATTTATTCATCCATCCAAACGAACTTTCGTATTTACAATATTATCTAATATTAGGATATCTTTTACGGAAAGATTTTTTTTTTATCATGAACTAGCGATTTTCTCGAGGAATTTTAATTGAATTTGTTTACTTTTTTGTTTTTTTTAATCATCATGAAACCCTTTAAGCTTAGTTTTAAAATCATTTTGAATTTTTACCCCTACTCCGTATACCTTAAATAAGTATATACTTTTGTTTTTCAAATAGGAACTCCCCCCCCTCCCTTTTGAACGTATAACGATAATATATTTCATGTTTAACAAATTCACTAAAATTCTCCAAGAAAATTGCTGCACAAAAACATTTTGTGTATAAAATCTGTTCACTACTCTAATCTGCAGTTTTATTTAGGTTTCAATGGAATTGTCTATACTTGACATTCAAAACACAAAGAGGATCGCTGTATACTCTTTATCATGAAACAGTTCAACTCCTAGTTCACACAGAGTGTTTTTGTATTTTTTTTTTTTTTTTTAAATCCATTTATGGAATACTTTGGCGATACGGGTGAAAAAAATACAGTTATTGTTATATAATTTGGTCATCACAAACAATCATTTTTGAAAGAAAAAATGACCGGGCAACAACGACTTACTGTTATAAATTTAAAGGTGTAAACAGGGAGACACATCAAATTGAATAGCTTTTATTAGTTTAAATGTCTGAAAGTATTAAGCCCGGAACATATCGGCTAATTCAGCTAGTTTGTTATAAATATTACAAAAACACATTTACTTCGGGAATTTTTCCCACTCACATATTGTTAATACATTGAAAAACAACCGAAATTTTATCTAGTATACTATTCTCAGGGTTTCACTATTTCTAGGCACCGATTTTACAAAAATTGACTTTTGAAAAGGAAATCGATTTCAACACATCGGCAGTCCTCTGTAGTGCCATAACGATATCAAGGGGTAGAGTATAGGCAATTTTAATGAAAACGATCAACAAATATCGAAATTCACTTTCAAAAATAATTTACAACTTACAAGTATAGCCTCTTGTTAGGTCAGGTCAGGTCAGATTAGGTTAACTCAGGTACTACCACCCACTATCGCTAGTTACTGTGTACGAAAAAACGTTACGTATTCGAGTTTAAAACACGCGTAGGTACAAGTAGTGCATGTTTAAAAACGATAATAAATAATCGATAATAAATGATATCGAAAAAATACAAACAACTTTTACACGGTGCGGCAATAAAATGTTACCCTCTTGTCGATTTTAATATATCACCCTGTACAACAGTGGCACACCCATCAGCAGTACCGGCCTTTGTTATATCGCTCATTTGTATCGAAGGAAAAATAAACGCAATAAATTATTCATAACGATTTTTCCTCCGTTTCCGGATCGAACGTTACGGAGCGAATAAGCGTGTCCAATATTATAGGCACACGATATAATAACATTACTCAGCCACTCATATATTATTATAAATTGTAATATTATCAGACTATTTTTTTTTAATTTTTTTTTTTTCGTTTTATGTTGTAGTCGTGACAACGGTTCACAGTAATATAGTGCGTAGATAAGAATATCGTTTGTTCTTTTTAATTATTATTATTGATATAGTAGTGCGGACGCTGCGGTCTAAAACGATTTACATATGGCTCATAGCATTCGCTATTTTATAATAATATTATAATAAGCTCGAATTTTAGTCATCCGAAACATAATCGTCCGATTAAAAATTAATTAATTAATTAATTGCCTCGTGGTCTGCAGGCGTTCTATTGTACATTTAGTATCTGTAATTATACCTATACAGTTAACATAATAGTTGTGTTTTTCTGATAGTTACGTCCGATTTATAAATTGTAATATTATCAGACTATTTTTTTTTATTTTTTTTTTTTTTCAATATTTCACAACATTACGAATGCGAAAACTTGAAATTTTTCTTTCACGAAAACGATGTAGTTGTACTTCATAGTTAATGCGAACACCATCCGCGCAATTATTACGGCCGACAAAATGCCGTTTGTGTAAAAAGCCGCGTCTCAGTGGCGTTTTTGGTAATAATTAATTTTTATCGAATTATTTAATGACAAATATACTTCCTGTAGTTTTAGAACGTTCTACGGACTAATCATAACACTTTTTCGAACCGCTAAAATTTCTAATCCATTAAATCGATTCTAACACGCAGTAGCTGTTGTCATTGACCAACGACCACATAACAATACAGTATGATCTAAGATTGTCGTAAACGACACACGAATGATAGCAATCGTTTGATTTCGGTCGAAACAATTATATTTTATTGTGTTTGGAAATTTCAGAATTAGTAAAACAAAAAAAATCCAACGGGGGGGGATCGGACGACCAGATTCCACCCCCCCCCCCCCCCAGTCGTCCCGTGATTACGCCACTAATAGGCACTGATGGGCACGAAAATATAATCGTGTACCATTGAATTATTATCATGCGTGCACAATGCGAGCATCTATACGTTTAAAACGTAAACTGATATACCTGTAAGTATGAAATTGATGACGTTGTACACACAATATACACATACATAGGTAATGATGCGTACCGTTATTATCGAGT